ACTTTCATCCAGTCTTTCTACCAAACCCGCATCACGACCAAGTACGGTTTCATCGTCATCCCACACGACGGAGGATTGTAGCAAATGAACTTTGGTACCAAGCCTGTCTCGCTGTGTAGGACTTTCTCCAAAATTATCGATTTTGGCTCGGATAGAGGCAGGATCTATTTCGACAATGATTTTGGCGTCGGGGTGCTCAGTACCATGCTGCGAACTATGAACGGCAGACACCTTGCACTTGGCGAAAATGACAGCCCCTCCTTGTTCCCCTTGCAGGGTACTTCGAATGAAGAAAAGCGTTGACGAGGGGATCGTATTTTCGAGTGATGACTTCGGTGGCCCTAGCTTATCCAAATCATACGGATTAAATGCAACAGAGGATTCTGCATCATCGTCCATAGAATCTCCAGATAGATGACCGAATCCTTCGTCAGGTACCATCCCGTGTACCATGGAACTATCCTCTTGAAGATCTTCGTCGTGAGCCTCCTATAAATTATGGGTTAATCACGTTTGTTGTAGTCGGAAAGGTTCGATTACCTGATCAGTGGTTTTCCCTTTGTGGAGGGTCTGCATCGTAGTTCTGACTGGATTCAGGTCCGGGGTGTTTTGCAACATCTCCACGTCCAAGTCTAGTTCCGCAGACTGATCATCAAGTGAGGCGAGATATCCCATTTCAATTAGTTCTCGGGGCTGAGCGACAAGGGCAAATTCTGGACAGGGATGCTTGGTTAGCCTTCCCAGTCACCGTTTTTCGCAACGGAAAATAAGCACCCTTTTTGCCTTTCCAGGATTCCCTAAGGACCTGGATGCGACTCGCAATTTGCTTGGTCGTCCTCTTCAATCCGGTCATCGTCTCTATGTATTCGGATACTAGCTTGTTGCGATTGAGGTTGCGGGAAGCGGATGGTCGTGGACGATAGGTTGTCGCATGGTATTTACGCAACCCTGCAACTGTGTTAGTATCAGTTCTTCATGTCGGGCAGAGACAGACCCGCGATTAGGACGGCCTCGAGCTCAAATGGCCAGACGAGCTGTCCCTTTGCATCAACTTTCCGGAGACGACTTCGGTTCGACATGGGTACCATTTCGATAGGGGAAACTGAATCATCGGTTTGGGCTACCAGCTTTTTCCTTGAGGTGGGTCGCTTGGAACGACGTTTTGCTGGTACTTTGCTGACCCCCTTAATATCGGCGGCAGCGGCGGCTTGAATTGGCGTCCACCAGGCACTCGGCCCGCCCATAGGATCGTATACCAAGCCTCCGGATGGCTGAGCACCTCCTAGTAGAGTGGGCGAGATGCTGACCTCTGGCTGGGAGGGGACCGTTTCCTGCTATACATTGATGTTAGTAAGCACGTAAATGGATCAAGAAGATCCGTTTCTTAGACTTCCTGACTTACTGCAGGCTCTTCACGCGGTCCTACAGAAGCCTCACGATGTGGATACAAAGGGAGATCAGGAGGACTGGAAGGCGTGAGCTGAGAGGATGAATCGGAGAGACTCATAATATCGCCGTCGCCGAGTGAGGTGGAACGGTTGGGGGGGAAAGGTCTCAAGAGCCTTCAGGGTACATGAGGGGATTGTAATAAATATCGGGGCTCAAAGAATCCAGTTCGGTTATTCTTTGACCAGATGAATTGGGAGCGTATTACGGTCGATTCACATTCCATCCTAGAGCACGCGATCGTGAATCGCGATCTATTCACGCCAGTGGGACGAAGTCCCTGGGGGTGGCGCCAGAGTATACGTAATGTATTCCCGTAAAGGTTTCGTGTGAGGCGTTGCCGGGGCGCAGAGAGGTACCGTATAGTGGATCCCCCTAGCGCACCTTCTCGCATGGCTGCTACTAAGCGTAAACTGAAACATGAGCGCGAGAGTGCAAATGCCCTTTTTGGAGAAACAATTCAATCGCAGGGTTTGCGGGAGAGACGGCGGATAATGGTTATGCAGGCGTACGGCAGGTCACCAAAGAACAAACTTTTGGTGGGTGTGTGGTCTTTTTGGTAATTCGGGACGAAGATAATCATCCAAGGATGGCACTAGAAGCGCTGAAACTGGTTGTTTATCTCGATCAAGTGGCATAACCACTCTTGAAGAGGGTGCGAAAGTCCTCGGAGCTTCCGGAACTTTTAATGTAAACTATTGCGACAGATTTATTCGACCTGTCACCGTCGACGCCGATGACAAATTTTGCGTGAATCCACCTGATTAATCGCATTGAATTTCTAGTCAGGAAAGCTCCTGGACTAGTAAGCGAGCACCGATGAGGGGCAGTATCATCGAGAGCATACTAGGCCAAAACGGGATGTTAGGGAACAGTCTCTTTCGTACCACCTGCTCGATTGTCAACGAGAGATCGTCGAAATAGAAGCAAATTATAGGCACAAAGAGTCCGCCAGGTTTTGAAATAAGAAACCTCCACCCCTCTGAGTCTGCCCACCTCCTAGAGCTTGCAAACGTGGGGAGAAAGGTGTGGCGTCCCGACCAACGCCACCGTTTGAATTGTCTCTGTGAGGACTTTGACAGGTGTCAAAAGCCGTCGACGATACAAACTGGAATCTCATGGGTGCTAGGCTTGCGCGCCGTGCTGGAGTTTTCCGCATGCTCCTCAGACAAAACAAATGAGAAACCCAGTCGAGTGGATAGACTGTACGCTGCTTGATCCCGCTTTTGCAAACGATGAGTGTAGCTGCTCCCAATTGAAGGCTCAGTCGGCATTTTGATTACAACCTTGCCACATGTCACCCTAAGTATTTGCCAGGTACGAAACTGCAATTGCAAAATCGCTCAATCCTCCCTGCCACTTCCCCGGACGGGAAATAAGTAGCCTATCGAGTTCCCCAATCGTTCGTTTGTCCCAACTCTAATCCCACCGATTGTAATAGCCCTGGCAGGCTTATTCTCAAGGTGCATATAGAGAAAACCCAGCTCAAGACCTTCCTACGGTTTCAGTCAGGCCATTGAAACACTTCCTTGCCCATTAAAGTGTGGAAACTTCCTTTCAGCTGACCTGCGGACGAAATCACATTTGCGTTCTTTCGAGGATTCTAATTGCTGGTGCCGGTGTGTACATTAATTAAACCTTCAAAGGGAGCGGTGTCCTGAGAGCTGGGCTTGGGCGTTTGTCAGATCCGAAGAATCAGGATCAGGTATCCACATGAATTGCGATACATTGATCGACCAAGCTTGAACTGATCTAGCGGTGCATACGGCGTCATCGGGGCTTGCTCATGGACTGGCCAGTCTTCGCTAGCCAGAATAACGCTGCGGGCCCACAGGCAGAGCACCTTTCAATAGGCTATCCCGCACTGTAGGGGATGGATTTTGTTCAAGGGGCATTGCAGACGGTTCCGAGGCGGTCCAGAACACGAAAAGAAGAACGGCACCGGAGGGAAACAAGATTTAAAAACTTGACAATTCGGATGGTCGTAGTAGGCGAGGGGGGAGGTCGTTTTCGCTGTGGAATTGATTCCTCTGGTCATACCTTAGCCGCCACAGGTCAACATTCCAAATACCTAATCTTGAGTCGTTAAGAAATCTCGGAAGAATCTCTTTGTCGCTTCCTCGAGATGATGTGCAACAACGCAAGTAAATGTCGCCAGAACGCGATGGGTGCTTTTGGACGCCCATGCCAGTATTCCAATTAATATAGTTTCAGGAACGGCTTCTCCTGTCGGGATGTAGTGCTATTGAAGGCACCAATCAAACCATCCTCATTTGGCTGGCAACGGCTGTAACCCCGTACCGAGCCCGTAAGGGTTTTGCTATTCAATTTTTCGTCCAATCGATTTGGGAGATCTTGATTGTGTCTTTCTGTAACACTTGGTTAACGAACCAGAACGTACCCAAGCTGGCAAGATATCACTCTCTCGACACCATAAACTACAGGAATCAAAAGTTACTGGAGGACATACGCGGGAGCGCATGAATAGGAGTGGAAAAAATATAAGGGAGATGGGGAAAGGAGATGAACGTCAGCATACGATCTTGAGGACTTAAAGACTGCAGCCATCTTGGATCGAACATTGGTAAAACCCATTCCTGATCGAGCGGCAGACTCAACTATTAGCATTGGAGGTCTAGACCCTCGTACATTCTCCCTGATGACATTAACACAGCCACTAGTGGCCAGGTAAGTAAGGCAAGCGGACCCGAATAAACGTGGCGAAAGGGGATCGACCAGGCACTAATGCGTAAGTTTGTTCCAGGGGGACGCCACATCCGATACGTTTTTAGCTTGCCATGCAACAAGAAAGGACACGAGACAATCCAATCTTGGCTATAGTGGGTGAATGCTGACAGAAAGTGGCACGAGTACGTCGATGGAAAGGAACCAGCTGTCAGTTTGGTGGCCCAAACCAGGGCCGAGTATCTCGCTAATTGCTCAAGATGGAAGTCTTCATTCCGGATCAAGGGATCAAAAAGAGCATGACAGTTCGCCTCTCCTAGAATGTCGCGCTATTGTTTACTTTTAGACATGGTAAATTGGCTGTTGTGGACGGATTTTGTGCCATGGTGAGATGGCCAAGGTTCAGGGCGTCCGTGTCGGCGTGCCTTTGTACACCTGCTCGTAGACGATGAAAAGACGCAAAGATACACTGTTTCTAAAGGGTTTTCAAGGCCTTAATGAGTAATTCAGCCATATAGACTTCCAATTTGGGCCGATTCAAGGCTGGGCGGTGGTCAGAATGCTCTTGAGATCCTCATGGCTGTGGCAAACTGGAAAGGCATCGCGATAGCTGGTATTCATATCCAAGAAAGAATAAAGGGCTCACAGAAGTACTGGCTCCTTGTAAAATTTGCGTCATGGGGCGGCATTTTGGGTGTGGCCAGGTTCAAGTCTCACTGCGACTGAGTGGCTGAGCACGGTAAAAAAAAAAAAAAAAAACAAGTTCAATCTGATGTCAGATGCAGGCCGACATCTTCAGAATGACTCCGAAGGCATCGGGAATGCATTGGCGAAAATAGAGAGATGAAAAATTGAGGAGCAAAAAGGAGTGACCGAGGCAGGACTCGAACCTGCAGCCTCTTGATTACACACTCATCGTAGTCAAGCACTCTAGCCATTGAGCCACACGGCCGACCGATACTTGAGAGTTCGCACCAACCTACTAGAAAATTAATACATCTGTCAAACATTGGATCGAGAGGGTAACAAGAAGGCAGCTCTATTAAAGGAATCATGCTTTACAAGATGGGAAAGATGCGAGAATCTATCAAGTTGTGGGTGTAGTAATCAGAAACGCCAGAGCAGGCTTTCAATCAGACACCATCAACCCAACCATGCAAGCATCCATCATCATCTCCGCAGAAACCCAAGCGTGAGTGAGTGCTATTGAGGTAAGATGTCAGTAGAGTAGGTGGGTGAACCAGCAGATTGACGTACCAAATAACTTAGTCCCATCTCGTCCGGCAACTCGCATGAGTTCTTTCTCTCCTCCAGGATGATACGGGAGGTACGGTGTCATATTATACACCTTCCCATTGATGGCTGTCCACGCATCGTCCTTCTTGTTGTGCTCTTTGAGCATCGAAGGGGTCACACGGAGCAATGAAGTTACTCCACCCTATCAGAATTTACATCAGATTAGTAACCTCTAAAGTAGATGAGAAAGGGAGCGTACCCGAAGGTCGGTTCCCGAAGTCTTGAGGTTTGCCCAATCCAAAGTGGAATGACCAGGAGCTAGAGCAACCTTTTTCGACTTCTTAGCAACTTTTGTGGTTGTCAGAGGTGCAAGACCATTCGCTCCGTTGGCGTTGGCGCCTAAATAGGTCACCTGGGTCCCAAGGCGTGGAGGAGGTGGGCCCATTAGTCCAGTTGAGCGATTGGAAGTTGCAGGTTTTGATGCTGTAGCAGCTCTTTGAGGCGAGTTTAAGGCTGGAAACGCAGGAGGGCGGTCTGTATCGTATCCATCATCCGAGTTTCGGTCTTCCTCTTCTGGTGGTTCCACTACTTCAATCTCTGGAGGTTCATCACGAATTACTGGCGGGTTTGTCTGCGTGGGCTCGCTAGGTGCGCCTAGCAGCCAACTACGGAGGTACGAAGTCATGGACTGCGCGGATGACAAACACCATCGAATTGATTGTCTCCTCCACAATCGGTGATGCTCATTGTAAGGTGATTGATATCGACTGTATGTTTAAAATACTGATCTCTTGCGATTATTGCGGGAGGCAAAAAATGATGTGTTCCCTCGCCCCACTGGCTCCTTCTCTTGTACCCCGTACCCTGCACGAACCCCCTTCCCAAAAGCCTGACGAGGGGTATGTCTGATAATAAGAGAAAACATGCTGGGAAACAAGATGGTTCGAGAAAACGATATAAATCGGTTAGGAGTCTCTTTGCCGTCTACTCGTACGGTTTCTACTGAGACCACGAGAGGATTGTCGTACATCGTAAACTAAGAGGCTACACAGGACGGGACGCGTGTAACCTCAACAACCATCGCCGGTCCTGGCGTTTTCATAACTTGCATCAAAGGAAAGGAAAGGGTGGCCGGGAGAGAGATCAGGGAGGTGTTTGAGTCGGTTAGAATGATGCATTATGCTCTTTACTGGTCTTAATTACAAGGCACACAGATTGCATCGGATCTTTGGCCCAAAACCAGCGATCAGCCCTCCACCGATAAACCGTCTGGGCCAACCATTGATCTTAGCGACGATGATGACGATGGCGACGACGACTTAGAGACTCGTATAAGACGAGACAGAGATAGAATTCAATCAGAACAAACGACTCACGACTCAGGAAAAGCCGGAAGCGCAAAACCGAGAAAGCGCATCGGTGAGCCAGATCGTTCGCAGGGGATTATCTCACTGAAAATACACAAGTGATCCATTATACGGATACTCCTTGCCGTCAGTTTCAAAAATACACGGTTGTATATCGCTGAAATTGTCGCAGTCCTGTTCGCCTCCTGCGCACAACCAGTTGATCCCATTGCCCTGACGCTTGCATACCTGGATGAAGTAAAACAAAAAGGGGCAGCAAGAACTCGGTTTGTAACAGTCTCATCATTAGCTAATTTTACTCTAATATCCCAGTAGCACTGTTCAGCGCCTCGAGCCAATATCAGCGACATGTGTCGCCGCTTTGCCAGAATTATTATTATTGAGTGAAAAAATACTGACACAGGCATTCGAGACAACAGGTTCTTCGGAGCCAAAGCGTTATACGGTACGTTCGATGTTTCGGACTATCAGCACCCACATACTGATTCTGTCAAAAGTATAAAGTTATAGCCAAAGTTCGAAACAATTCCAAGCTCTCTTCGCAGAAACTAGCTGAAGATATCCCACAAAAAGTGCCAACGGGGCATTCGGTCTCTCTCAAGCAACCTGAACTTACCATACTTGTCGTCGTATTCAAGGTATGAGTATTCATGATCACCGCTACTGCTCACGTAATAATCAAACGAGTCTAGTCCGTTGCCGGTATTGGGGTCGTTCCAAGATACGAGGAACTCAAGAGGTACAACGTCGCACAGCTCGTCGAGGCGAGAGATCTTGATTTAGATCTCGGTGAATCAAGCCGTCTGAGAAAAACGGCTTTAGATGACACACCTGCGAAGGATGACGGGTAATTTCGCATCGGCATACACATTGTCTGCGGGTTAATAGCAGACCCTGTTGTCAATGTGATACTAGATAACACATCAATAAAGGAGATAGAATGCTTGATCCCTTCGCCGATACGAATATTTCATTTCCTCGTGCTAGCGGCGGGTTTACCATTCAAAATAGCCCGTAAACCCCGCCTTTAAGGATTCACATTTGTTTAAGAACATTTCCGAGCATAGCCAGATCTAGTGGCTTTGACGATGAGACACCTTCCAAGGGCCCACAGCTCCGAGCCTTCCCCATGAGTTGTCGCATCAAAACAAACAAAGATACCAATAGTTATTTTAGAACCCAATTTTCATCATGACTAAGAAGCCGCAATCGAACAATTTAGTCAAGTGTATATAAAGCACAGTACCGAACCGCCACCTACCGTTCTCCTTAGTATTCGGTTGATGGCGGATGGCCATGCGTATCCAACCTAAGCGCCTATCCTGTGCCTGGAAATCATTAGGATGCATTGTTTCTAGAATGTAGAGATGGTTCTCTCTACTAATCTTTCAAGACCAGAAATTACGGAATATCCGATTATATCCTTGTTTCAACGTGACGTACAGAGAAAATTTGATTCGGGAATGCAAGGCGCAAGGGCTATAGGCCCGCCACAGCAGCATGCAATTCAGATGGGCATCACCGACAGCACCTTTCCCTTTCTTCCCTCCACCACAGGGATATTGACGGTCATCTGAGAAGAAGTGTACGAATGAAATCGCGTGTATTGCCACGTAAGGGCAACCAAGTTGCATCGGAGATGGGCGGGCCACCCGAACAGAGCAAACCATCAAGGAACATATACTGGTGCGCCCCGGAGGACACCCATACCTTCATATATAGTGAAGAGCCGGAGCGACGCTTCTTCCGTACCCAACTCCGGACATTTCCTCTTGCCGCTCTCAAGATGAGTAAGTGTTTCTCCCTGACATTTGGGAGCATGCTCACGTTATCGAAGATCATCAAAATTACTACTATCGCCCATCAGGTTACCCCAGCGAAACCGATAGTGGCGGCGAAGGAATTAATTATGCAGAGCTCTTCCTGGGATATGACGATTCAGGCGATTTTGACGCGCAGCAACCGCTCAACGTACCTGTGGAACTACAAGTACCCTCTCAAAACCCAAACATGATGCATATCGCCCACCAACCACTGGGCCTACCCGTTCACGATACGAGGCTCCTGGCACAATCCATGTATACTCAACCGCAGCCCGGATACCACACGGGCCACAGACACGCAGACAACTACGAGCAAAGTCAAATGCATCGCTCCGCAGCTATTCCTCCCGGCGTATACGCGATGGAGGCGGCCCGCCATGGATCGCAAACGACCTCACACCCTGAACAAAGTTACTACTCGGGCTCGTCTACAATGCATTTGAATGACGGGCGGAGAGTAAATGATACCTCAAATCGTGGATATGTAACGAGTACCTCTCGTGATGTCCATCTTCAGCAAGCTCCTAGGATAGAATCGTCCTCCATTTCCAGGTCCGAAGTATGGAAGGCATTTCCACTTGACAACGATGATCACAAGGCAAAAAGAGAGGCCTTGTATGCAATAATGCAGTCCAGCTGGAAACAGAACAACGACTTCGAACCAGAAGCGTCTGTCCTCATGCAATTCATGGAGTGGGATCCGATTGAGAAGAGGTGGCATTGTAAGTTCTGGAAAGGTGGAAAACGGTGCACCTGTTCCTGCAGGAAGCGAGACCACGGGAAAGGGCATATTCGCAGTCACCTCGACTTGCTTCCCTTTGTATGCGACAGCCAGTGGTATGCACCGTTATACTCAATTGTGCGCGAGGCTCTGACACTACGGCTTGCAGTCCATATAGTGCTAATGGTTGCGGGAAACGTTATCCAGCCGTCGAACCTCTGCAGAAGCACCGTAAAGGGAAGACGGATTGCGATTATTGGTACGTAAACTCGTAGGAATAAGAGATAGAATGCGTGGCTAACGTAGACACAGTGCACTCCCCGTCCTTCCAACCAATATGAAGCGACACATCCAAACTTGCCACCCAGAATTGTTTTCCAAGGCATAAACCATCTATGGCGGACATTCTTTTTCTTTTTCTTGCATTTATTATTTCTTATTTGTGATGCTGTATATCATTGCCGTTCTCCCTGATTCTTGTCTGTGCGTATCGATAGATGGCTTTTGTTCCTATTTATATTCTATCGAATGAAATTCATTGAATCTGGGAATTTCTGCAATTAGTGCTTGTTCTGGAGCCCAGACCGATGTGGGTCGAAGAACCCGGCGGTGCCGCTAGCGGCAATCGGGACCAAGGTTGAGTTCCAACTTCTGGAGTGCAACCACCGCAATGTTTTCCTCGTTGTTCAGGTCAGTGACGCGACATATTCGTGAATTCGTATGCTGATTCAGCAATCGAATATATTGTACATCATCGTTTGATCGAGCAGTACAAGCGATCCTAATGCCCCCAACCTCCATCCCG